GAGAGAGAGAGAGAGAGAGAGAGAGAGAGAGAGAGAGAGAGAGAGAGAGAGAGAGAGAGAGAGAGGTTTACGTGGGAAGAAGAAAGAATAAAAGGGAGGAAAACTAAAGCCGGGTTTTGAACGGCAAATCGATTAAGGGATTCCTGTGCTCATTAGTCGCTTTGACGTTCACTCAAGCGGTCGAATAAAGATCTCTCATTTTCATCAAGCTTAGTTATAAATATTTATATATTTAAGCTTAGTTATAAATATTTATATATTTAAGCTTAGTTATAAATATTTATATTTAAGCTTAGTTATAAATATTTATTATTTGTAAATGATTATATATTTATATAGTATGTTATAGAAATAGGAAGAGTGATAGGCATTCATATACTAAGACAAATCGTCATGGAAACGATTAATGAACCAGAGAGATTCCGTTTTTACAAATTTGAAGTGTATTTTTTATATTTAAAGGAATACAGAGCGTTTATGACTTCGGATAGACAAAGGGATTTGTGTTCAGTCCATGGGTAGATCTTCCTTTATGGAAGCGATCGATTATCTTGGACTTTTGCATTTAGTAAGAAGGAACAGTACGGTCTTTCATTTTTCAATCCCAGGGAAAGAACAGGTACGTTGTTCTTTGTCAACTTTATTTAAAATAGGTAAAAAGTATAACACAGACTAGACTACTAGAAGATTCGAGTTGTTAACTCGATTCTTAACTAGAAGGTTTCAATTGATAACTCGATCCTTAACTTTTACCTCAGAAAACTAACTAGTTTTACAGTTGCGACTTCTTCTTACAGTTCAGGATGCTCTTGATTTACTTGATTGTCATTGATTGGTCCACGTGGCGGGACTCTGTGGTGTTTGTCGCTACGTGACACAACATCAGGGATGTTTGGGTGTTGTAAGGAAAGAAGGTAAAAATCAAGAATTGGACCCTTGACAGAGTGTGTGTGTGTGTGTGTGTGTGTGTGTGTGGGTGTGTGTGTGTGTGTGTGTGTGTGTGTGTGTGTGTGTGTGTGTGAGAGAGAGAGAGAGAGAGAGAGAGAGAGAGATAGCTTGTGCGCACGAGAAAAGGTCAAAATGGCCTTAACAAACCGCAATCAGGACAGTCGCCGAGTGGAAACCAATGTTTACTTCTTCTGTGTGTGGCTGAGGTTTAAACCAAACCTTGATCTGGACAGTCGCTGAGCGTAAACCAATGTTTACTTCTTCTGTGTGTGGCTGAGGCTTAAACCAAACCTCAATCTGGACAGGCGCTGAGCGTAAACCAATGTTAACTTCTTTGTGGCCGAGGCAAAACCAAAGCTAGCTACGTCGTGTTGTATGTTGAATGATATAATTTGCACCCTGTGGAGGTATATTGATGGTGCAAGGGAAGCGCTGTGCTTGGGAACAGTGGGTGTCTCTCCAAATTGGATGGGTGACCACAGGAAAATGACAGATCGAGGAGCAGCAGTTAAAGTATGGAACGCTGACTTTTTCCAATAATTGTTCGTCGTGGTCATGTCCAAAAACACGTTTTTTTTTTTACAGATTTTCTCGTACGCAGATCCCAATTCTATGCTTTGACAGATTGAGCAGCAGTTAAAGTATGGAACGCTGTCTATTTGTAATTGTTCATCGTGGTCATATGTCCAAAAACACGTTTTTTATTACAAATTTTCTCTTACGCAGATCTCAATTCTATGCTTTGACCTCCCTGAAGCGCTATATCTACCATGTTGCAGGCCAGCCCCAATAGCCTGGAGAACGTGTGGCTAATGTCCTCTTGATTAGAGAGTTGTTCCCTTTTGATTCTTTGCTGCTGTTTGTGGTGTGTCTTAGGGTCAAGTGCCGCTCATGTTACGAGTGTTTGTGCTGAGTTAGCATGGACTTGGCGGCCATTTTAACGACAAGATCCATCCTTTTTCAGTAAGGATGTCGTGCCTCTGGCTCCCAGTCCTTGATGTCTATTGTCTGACAAGCTCACTCTGAGATGATTGACACACAGAAGAAAGACGCCTGGCAGCAATCGGGATGCTTAAAAAGTGCGGCTGCTGTCGTGGTAATAATGATGGTGAAGAAGGTTGGAAGGGGGCCTACCAGGTGTGGTAGCACTCGTCGATGCACACACGAGAAAAGGTTAACCGAGCGTCTGGTTTTCAACGAATGATGTCCAAATCCACAAAAATTCCACATGACCTTTTCGGACAAACTCGCCACCCATCAGTAGAGCTGACACCAAAGAACAGAGCAACAGAAAAAGAAATTCGGAAAAAAAGACACTGGAAGAGCCAGCCCGTGGAGCCCTTTTCAGTTACAAAATCACTGTGGCCAAGAAAGCTACCTCTTAAGGCATCTGATATCCTTTGTGCTCGACTCACGAAAACCCTAAAACAATCCTACACTTCTTCTTCCCCTTAAAAGACCAGATGAGAGTTGATGCCTCGAAACCCAGTGTCATTGTTTTTGAGGTGAACCGAAAAGAAGTCAAAGATGGTCGTCCGGACACCTGACTTTTTAGGTAGACTCCCCCAAAACCTTCTGAAGACCTTCCATGCATAAAGTCATTAATTACGTACTCCTGTGGACTCCAGAGATAATACCCTTTTCTCTCAAAGCTTATGATGGTATGCTCGATGGGGCTGTGCCTTCAGGATTATTTCAAGAATCTATACCGGCTAAAGACATTCCATGAAGTCATCGACGAAATATTCAATGAGGTGGACCATGTGGAGCCGTGGATGAGTGGGAACTGCCGAGGGCCGTCTACAGCCTTTTGTTTGTTGTACAAGTTCTTCACCATGAAGCTGACGGTTAAGCAAGTCCAGGTGCTGTTGAAGCATGCAGATTCGCCTTACATCCGTGCGGTACGCTCGCCCCTCCTCAACTCATACATGGGTACGGATTCGATACCTCTCTCTCTCTCTCTCTCTCTCTCTCCCCCCTCTGCCATTGATACCCCCTTCTATCCTTTCAGCGAGCAACAACTTTGCTGCCCTCCTCCATCTCCAGTCACTTCATCTTAGTGTTCTGGTGGATGTATGGTGGTCAAATTTCTGTGATTTCCAAATGGATGCCATTGTGTTCTTCCTCCTCCCCGCCCTCGGCTTTTGTTGTTTCTTTGCTTTTCTCCCCTCCCATCCCCTAGAGAAGGCATTGTTGTTGAAAGCAAGTGTTTCCTTGTGCTTCTCAATGCCTATTTTTCTGTTAAGCACTGTTCCATGTGCCATCAGCGTGCCTCTTCTTCTGAACCATTCTGAACGCAATGTAGTTAAGGCCTTCTGCATCAGATGCAGATCCCTGGCATTAACTTAGTTTCCAAGACTTCAGGAGGAGATGAGCACCGATGGAAATCTCCGTGGAATGTATCTCTGCGGCTGTCGGCGTCATCCAGGCTACAACTGGGGGCACTGAGGGCATGTCGGAGTGATGCCAAACCCTGGCCAATGCGACTGTAACTGTTACATCTGGGGCCAATGAGGACGCTTTCAACTTTTGGGTGAAGGCCATACCTACTGTCTTCACCCGAATAGAACGCCGGGTAATTATCGCCATATCTGCACTGAATGTTGTGCCACATGCAGCTATAATGACCGGGTGTTCTATTCGGGTGAAGACGGTAGTGCGCTCATGTTGGTGAGAGACAGGAATAGCCCTAACACAGCATTTGTCAGCATTGTAGAAGGTCAGGTGGAGATCATGCTCCTGCACATTGTGAATCTTCAAGCACACCGGGGTTGGACTGCCATTGCTCTCACAAACCTAAACAGGCTATTTCCATGGATATCCCCTTTGACAAATAAAACATGGCAAAGCGAAACAGAAGGGGACGACTTGGCGATGGCATCTCTCTAGGAGGGTACATGTAATCGGCGTGGCTTGTGGTCTTGTTCACTTCAAGTGGCATGCATACGGTGTGGTATTGACGGTGAAGGTTCCTTTCTTATGATGCAATACAGTCTCTCTTTGTCACTGTTTTGGTGGGATTTTTTTCTGGCTGTTGCTCTTCCTGTTGCTTTCGCATATGACATGTATGAGGAGTGGAGTGGCAGAGTGATCTCCCCAAGTGTATCGCTGGATCTCTGCAATCAACAGTGCCGGTGATGGCCCTGATAGTGGGGTTCTTACGTCGTGAGGAAGTGATGCCCCATTGGGTGTGCCCAAGGATTCCATTACCGTCTGCCACTGAGCAAAAGGAACCCTCCATATGACTGTCCTGAATCGGATTCATGGCCTGTGAGCATTCACGATCAGAGTATGCCGTGTCTTGGGGAAGACGGTAGCGCTTTGGGTCAGTGAGTCCTCGCCCGATTGGGTGTGCTCAAGGATGCCATTACTGTCCTCCGCTGAGCAGAAGGCACCCTGTCCCCTGAATCGGATTCATAGCCTGTGAGCATTCACGATCAGGGGGTGTTGTGTCCGGGGGAAGACAGTAGCGCTCTGGGTCGGCGAGTCCACAGGGTTGTCGGTCTTGTGCTGGTAAGGTGCTGCTTGTTTTTACGGGCCTGTTTCTCAGACTATGTATGAGGGAGGACGGCATTTTTCGGCTGCCAATGACTCCATTCCATTGGTCTCCTTGGTGGTCTGAAAACGTTTCTGCTGGGACATGACCTGATTGTCCATGGTTCAAAGTCGGTACACCTGGCACCATGACTTGATTGTTCCTGGTACCAAGCCAGTCGTGCGACAACCTGATTGCTCCTGGGGCAAAACCAGTTGCAGATGGTTGTTGCGGGTAGGCTCTGAAGGGGCACGCAATGATGGTCGCTGGGAGCAAACCTGTGGTATCATGACTGGTATGAGTTCATACTAGCGGCGAACCCACAATTCGTACAAAGCCAGTTGCAGAGGGTCATGACGTCAGTATTGAGTGGATGCGTGTGCAGCACCAGTTGCAGTGCTCTGTCTGTCCAACAGGGCCTTTCTAGTATTTGTGGATGTAGCCTGTTTACCTCCTTCTGTTCCTTTGTTTTGGTGGTAGCTGCTGTTTTCCCTCCTTCGCTCTCCCTGCATCTTCTTGGTAATGCCTCACCTCCTGGTATTTTGCTTGTTCGCATACCCCACTGCTCGCTTTCTCTCCACACCCTTTTGTCTCCACATTCGTTTGCTCCTCTCTTTTGACTTGCCATCCCCCTCTCATTCCTGTCATTACATCTAGACTAGTGTTTCCGTCTCATCTTGTTCTGTGCTTGTCAGTTCCTTTGTCTTACCCGTTTCTCTTTCTGCCACCGTAAACAGAGGGGTGCACAATTGTTTAGCTTTTGACAATGTGTGTGTGTGGTCCTCCGAATGGCAGATAGGGTTTCTCTACCTGCGGTACCTGGCAGACCCGAAGACTTTGTGGAGCTGGTGTGAGCCCTACCTGAGAGATACTGAGGTAAGCTTCTTTCAGCCATGTTTATGCATGCTGTCCACTTTCAAGGCTGTTGGGACTGAGCCAAGTTTGATATGTGCTTTCAAGGCTGTTGGGACTGAGCCAAGTTTGGTATGTGTTTTTCTCTCTTTTGTTTTGATGTGTGTGTGTGCTGTCTCTTATACACATCTAGATGTGTATAAGAGACAGCTCTACGATAGAGTAACGCTCGCATTGGCTGGTTGCGAGGGGAATCCCGACTTGCGCGCTGATCTGCGGAACGGATAGCTGCGCTCTTTGCCTGGGAGAGGTCCTAGGTGCTCAATTCGAGTGCTTGCGCGGAACCCTATTCTCGTTACCAGAGGCTCTGGGTATGCGCTGATAGCACGAAAAAGGATGGATGATCCTTCTTGTTAAGGAAAACACGACCAGTACTTTGGCGTCTTGTTAAGGGAACCAGAAGGCACCTTCACCTTGAATTTGTACGAAGCTATCTTCCGGTCCGATAAGGGCATGATGACGAGGGCGCGTTGTGTTCTGGGGAAGATGGCAGTAGTGCTTATTCTGTTCCGTTCAAGGAAAAGATGACGACAATGATAAATGCTCTACCGTCTTCTCCCAAACACAAGGCGCCTTGATGATCTTCCACAGAGGAAGCTGTCCTTTCCCTATCCGCTGTAGTCATCATGAGGGTGCGTTGTGTTCGGGGGACGACGGCAGTAATACTTAAATGCGCCACCGCAGGTGTAGTTCTTGTTCTCAACATCTCTCGCTCCTTGTAAGAGCGAACTTGGTCGTTTTTTTTTTCTCTTTTTTTCTTTCCGTGGATTTGAATTTTGAATGCTTCTCCATCTCTAAACGTCCGAAATTTGCTAAACGTAGTAGCGAAGAGAATGAGGCCTTGAGTGTGATCTGATCCCCTCGTCATCATTGTATAGAATCATAACCGGTTTCCTATAGTTTCAGCCTACATACATATGTATATATTAACTGTGATCGCACTTGGTTCATCTTAGCCAGCCGATCGTTGCTTCTGTAAATAGGTCATCATTCACGGGGGTAAGTTTTTTTTTTTTTTAACAAAGAAATCAATCGTTATTGCAACCAACTTAACTGGGAGGCCGGGGACCTCACAATTCAACCCGGTAGAACCAGTTCCTGACAGCATCAGTCAGCTTAGCTTCCAAGCTTCAGAGATAAGAGCTGTAATTTCTTAAGGCTACATAAAAAAATGTACGCAATTACTACCGTAGTACTTATGAAAGCTCTAGGGCATATGCACGTTGAAATAATCATATGGGGGGGGGTGGAATAATATTTGGGGGGGGGGAGGTCATCTTCGGAATGTAAATAGGTCATCTTTTCGTAACGGTAAGTTTGCGGCTTTGTGATGTGCAAATTTGACTTCCAGAGGTAAGCCAAGCAGTCTTTTTAAGGGAAAAAATTAAGGAAATTAAATGCACGCAATCTGTCCTAGATTGTGTTTGGCCTAGTAGTTCCTTGTGAAACCGTGAATCAGACGGAAATTTGTTGCTGCAAAAGGCCATTCAGCAGATCGCAAGAGGGAAGAAAAAGTATTGAGCGTATTAGATGAGCACAGTTTCTTCCTTTCCTGTGTCTCCCTCTCTGTGCCTCTGTATTCCTCTGTGTATCCCCCCCTCTCTGTGTCCCTCTCTGTATCCCTCTCTCTGTTCCCGTGTCTGGCCCTCTCTCTCCCTCTCTGTCTTCTCTACTCAGTTGCCCCTCTTATTTGTTTTTAAAATTTCTTGTCCCTCGTTTTCCCTGTTTTAAGCGCTCTTATCTTTCGGTCTGGTTTTCCTCCTTAGTCTCTCCTATACTCTTTACGTGTTTCTCTCTTCCTTTTAACGGGCGGAACTCTGTGCTCTTTCTCGTCATTTTTGTCTGTATGACCCTGTGCTCCCTATTTGTCGCTCCCTGTGTATTGTGTGTTGTTTTCCGTGTTTCTCTCTTCCCTCTCTTATTCATTCTTTTCTCTCCCTCTTTCTAGATCCTTCTCACGCCGTTCCACGCCCTCCTGCTTTCTGTTTACCCCGCTTTTTTCCTCTCTGCTTGCTCTCTCTTTCCCTCTCTCTCGCCCTCCTCTCCTGCTCGTTATGTATCTCTTTTTGCGCGTGCACGTGCGGATATGCGTTATTCTGTCGATGAGTGGCGATTACACGAAACGATTTCTCCGTTATGGTTAGATTTAATCACAAAAGAAACATTTGGAAAAAAATCACAATATAGAATTAGTCTGAAAATTCATGATATGATTATTTATTTGGTAGAAATATATACCCAAAAGACTATTTCTACTATTATTGAATTGATAACAGATCTTATTGGAATATTCACAATAACCGTTATTTTGTGTATTGCAAAAAAAAGACTGACTGTACTCAATTCTTGGCTTCAGGAACTTTTTTATAGTTTAAAGTGATACTATGAAAGCTTTTTTTATCCTTTCCTTGTCGGGTAAGTTCCGACCCGCACGAAAGGCGTAACGATCTGGGCTCTGGGCGCTGTCTCGGAGAGAGACTCGGTGAAATAGACATGTCTGTGAAGATGCGGACTACCTGAACCTGGACAGAAAGACCCTATGAACCTTTACTGTTCCCTGGGATTGGGTTTGGGCTTTTCCTGCGCAGCTTAGGTGGAAGGCTTAGAAGGTCTTTTTCCGGAAAGACTGGAGCCATCAGTGGTCAACGATTTCTCCGTTATGTTTTTTTTTTCTTCTTCTGCTGAAACTAGCTTATATTTGTTCTTCTATTAATTTCACCTTTCACTACCTATCTACCATGGCTCCTAAGGCTATACAGGGGACCTCTGCGAGCATAGCTACCTCTCACAATCAAGGGGGGGTGCATGTTGGCCCCTGCCCTAATCGGCGGTCGTCAGGAAGTAGGGTATGGTCGCCGGTGGGGAGGGCCGGCTACCTACCGTCTTCACCTGAATTCAACAACGTACGGTCATGATAGCTGTATTTGGCGCAACTTTCAGTCTAGATACTGTAATAATGATCGTACGTTGTATTGGGGTGAAGAGGGTAAAACGCAACGATGGAGCATTGCCGGTAGCTGCGCCTCCTATCTACTTCCCCCGTCCCTATCGAGTAACGGCAGTGTCCTTGGCCAGGCACTGCTCCGCTCACCAGATACAACTCCTCCCCCGCTTCCCCCTCCCCCCCCGGTCCCCCGCACACGCACACACGTGATGGCCAAAGACCCTACCAATACCGACCGGGGGGAACCAGCGTATTATCTCAGCCACTGCTCCACTCACCAGATACAGCTCCTCCCCCCCTTCCCCCTCCCCCGATCCCCCGCACGCGCACACACCTGATGGCCAAAGACCCTACCAATACCGACCGGGGGGAGCCAGCGAATTATCTCAGTTGGTTGACGTTTTTTTTTTTTTTTTTTTTTTTCGCGGTATGTGATTCCGATTTTCAAACAATAAAATCATTTTTTTTAATTCTGTTTTTCTTGATAAATTGTCTCCCCTTCATATTTGTTTTACTCAGTTTTCTCTGTTTTTTTTTGTTTTTTTTTTTTTTTGGGGGGGGGGAAAGTTTTCTCTGTATCGTTTCCCTCATCTAATGAACTCTTTTTTTTTTTTTTTTTTTTTCTAACGAACTTTGACGAAGTCGTGGAATATGAATTAGTATATGTATTAGTTAAGAGATAGGATGGGGCTTCAGGGGCGCCGTTTGTTACGCGAGGGAGAACCTAGGCTTCAGCGAAAAAAAAACGTTTTTTGCCTTTTTTTTCTTCCGCACGTCGCCATTGTCATTGGCTCTTGACACTTTTTTTTTTTTTTTAAATATATAATTGTTAGAACTCCTCCTACCTTCAAATTATTAGTAATATAGTGAAGTATTGATTATTTCTCCCGGCGGGATGAGGAATCTACCGCAGGATGGGCTGTGCATGGACAGAAGGCGGAGTGGAATAAGAGCAACGCTCGCCCGTATTATACCCTATATTTATTATTTACCGTACATCTGAGCTGTCCTGTGCGAGTAGCGTGCGTGTTTTTCCGTTTCTTTCTTTTGGAATGATCTTTGAGTAGTGCAAACGGAACGTAATGTTTATTTGCAGTGTGTGGTGGGGGGTAGTGATCGCCTTTCCGCTTTCTTTCGCTCGCCTATTATAATTTTGCTTAGTCAAGTATATATACTCGAGAGGATATCACTCCATGTTCTGAGATTCAGAATTTCTACCGTCATAAATTGGTAGGAGTAGTTTGCTTCCTGTTTTTCATCGCTTCGCTTTCGTGCTTGTTGCCTTGAGCCCAGCCGTCTTATGGAGACGAGAAACAGATGTCCGAGCGGCCTGGATGAGAAATGTTTTAAGTCGTAAGAAAAAGGAAAATACACGACTGTGTCGCTGATAAAGTAGTGAGGAGTGGTGAAGGTGAGGATGGCAACAATGACGAAGGGCGATGGCGATGGTGATGGCGATGGTGGTGAGTGATAAGGTAGGTAACGGTGCGGATCGTGTCGGTCATAGTGGATGTGAGAGGAGGCGGGCTTGAGTGGGGAAAGTAGAGAGGGGGACTAGTGGAGGGTTGTGTCTGTGTGTGTGTGTGTGTGTGTGTGTGTGAGAGAGAGAGAGAGAGAGAGAGAGAGAGAGAGAGAGAGAGAGAGAGAGAGAGAGAGAG